CACCACGTGGTTGCTGGGAATTTAGGACCTCTGGAAGGGCAGTCAGTCAGTGCTCTTAACCGCTGAGCCATCTCTCCAGCCCATGTTCTTACATTCTTATTGATCACTTGTGAGCAATATAGCATTCGTCATTTGGGGGATTCATCTTAAGTTGCTCTAATGAGGCATTTGAATGACTTTTTCTTTAAATATATTCAAGGGAGAGACCAATAGCAACAAATATTCCTTACATTTAATTATCTTGAAATGATTATCTGACAACCTCTGAAATGTGTGTTATAGTCGGCAATAGTTTTGAGAGACCAGATCTTTTGGTTCAGTCTCCTCCATCTTAGAGAACCAGACCTAAGGTTGAACCTAAGGTTGTTAGTTGTACACGTTTCATTTCACAGTCTTACAGTGTTAAAGGAATTTTGAAGTTTCTAACAGACTGACTTAACTAACAGGCTGGTACCTAGCACCAGTTTCCAGGTCACCTCCCAACAAGACCTACAGTCTAGCACCAGTTTTGAGGTTATTCCCCAACAAATCTGCACCTCCAGGTTACAAGCCTGCCCCTGACACTTCACCTCCTAGCAACCTCCAACCAGGAAGAATGCAGAAGTTAAGTTTGTGGTTTTGATCTCAGCACCAGCCAATTATGTTAAAGTCCATAATGGCTCCCCCAATCAAATATGTGCCAGACTAGATACCCCCTTCTTGCCTCTATAAAAACTTGCCTGACCCTGGGCTCGCTGCTACACACTCCCATTTTGACACAGTAGCAAGGTCGTGTGTCCAAAGCTCCAGCTTGAATAAAGAGACTCTAGTGCAATTGCATCAGAATCGGCTTTTGGGGTTCACGAATGCTTCCTGGCACAACAGTTCACGTTCTGAACAGTGAAGGCCTGCGGTTATCTGCATGCTGCATGAGATGGTACTGCTGTAGTTTGGAACTTGAGATCTTCCCACCCTCCAGAAACCAACATTTAGACGCTTAGCCTTGAGTTTGGTGCTGTTGGGAGGTGGAAATCTATGTTTGATAACTAGGGTCTAGTGGGATGTTCTGAGTCACAGAGGGCACACCCTTAGTGGGTGACAGGAAGGCTACCTCTTAGTCCTCTGAATCCAGCAGTAAGGTAACCATGGGACCTCTGTCACCCAGTCCCACCGGTGTTTTGACACAGCCCCAGGGCAGTGAACCGTGTCAGGGAGTGAAACCACCAAAGTTGGCTTCACGCTTCTCTTCTTAGGTTCATTGGCTTGGTCTTTGTTGAAACAGAAAATTGGAAATCTGTATAACACACCAGGATAATTTTAGTCCTGTTGAGTAGATCTGGGGCTGTTTGTAGTGTTCTGTTCTAAAGCAGGCTCACCTAGCAGGTGACATGGCTCTGCAGATAAAAGTGATGGCTGCCAAGCCTGACAATCTGAGTTCAATTCCAGAACCCACACAGTGGAAGGCGAGAACTGACTTGTGCAAGCTGTTCCCTGACCTCCACAAGCTCACACTTGCACACACACACACACACATGTGCACACAGAGATAAATAAAAAATGTAATTCTTTCAAAAAAATTTAAATGTGTCTTAAGATAGAGATTCTCAAACTTTGTTTACTGGACATCTTCGTGCCATTGACTTCACTGTGAGCCCCAAGGAAGGTACTTACTTCACTAATCTCAGCAGATAGTGGTGTCATCGTATGGGCATCTACCATGATTGTCAAATATAGATGGTCTGTGGCTTATAAAAAAGAGATGGCAATTTCCTTATGTGAGATTACATGAACAACCTAGAGCCTAGGACTTTATCCCCGTGAAAATCCCACTAATTGTGTGCGTGCTTCTGAATATTGAACTCACCTAGCCCTTTAGTTAAGCTATTTGTAGTTGCAATTTTGACAGTCTCGTTCTCTTGGCACCGTGATCCATAAATGTACTGTTCAGATTAAATTAGAATACTTTTATTTGTCCTTAGCTGCTTCTTTGTGCTTCAGGAGATGCCCTCTTACACTAGGGCGACCATATTTGGCAAGAAGTTTAGAGTTTTTGATTTATATAAAATGTGAGGTCTTTGCATACTGAAGTCTGCAAAATTGCGTTTGTAACTCTTCACCCTGATTCCGTTCCGGATGCTAATCCCACAATGACTGTGTGAGACGAGCTGGTCTCTGAATAATCTTAGTATCAAAACTACTCTAAACAGAAGTACAGAATGGTAACTTGCATTTTGTTTTTCTTCCTCTAAACTTTGAAAGACAAACTGTCCCCATGTCTGTGACGATCATTTTGACAATAGGGATGATAATTTAATTTCGATATTTATATGAATACATGAATATTCTTGTGTTATTCAGGTTATCTATGAATAGTACATTCTGTTAAAAGGCTGTAAGGCCTAAAGGCACAATTACAATTTTAATTCTAACTTCCTTCAAGGAGTTTTTACATTTACATTACAAAATAATGTCTCATTTCCATCTGGTATTTTATAAGTTGTCTTAAGGCAAAGTGTTCAAAAGGAAAGAAAATTAGATCAGAAATTGTTGGACTTTGTTGCTTGTCGTAATGCAAAGTGCTAAGCTTTGAAGCTCTGACTGACTTCTGCCCACTCTCATTTCATAGACAGCCTTTACCTCAACAAATCACCCTTTCTTCCTGGACCTTAAGCACCCTTATCTGTGAATTGGGGCTATATTGAAAGGTAAGGAAGAAGGAACAAAGCATCTGTGTGGGACACGGTATACAGAGGCTTTCTTCATCTTGGCACTTTCCTGGCTCCATCATGAATTCTGAGAAGCTGGACCAGTAATGGCCTGTGAAGGCACCAATTTCTATATTTATAGCTAAGAGACAGAATGGGCACGTTTAAAATTCCCTTTCAACGCTGCATTTTCTATTTCAGTGTCTGATATACATTTTCCGCTACTTCTATCTTCTCTAGTTTGTTCACTGTAAGGTCTTTCAAGGTTATCCTCCACCTCCATCTCCTCACAGCAGACATTGCAAATCCCTCCGTCATGCCCAGACCGCCTTGTCTCCTGAGATGAAGATCTCCTTAGGCCTGCTGTGATGCCATGTGCCACCAATCCTGGCACTTTGAATGTAGAAGCAGGTGATCTTGGTGAGTTCCAGTGCAACTTGGTTCACATAGAAAGTCCCAGGCCAGCTAAGATGATATAGTAAGGCCCTGTATCAAAAAAAAAAAAGAATTGAATTAAGTATGTACATATGTGCACACATACATACATACATATTCTTTAGGACTAGAGGTGGTATCTTTCCCATCTTTGCCTGCTGAGAGATATCTGCACCCAGGTTCTATTATGGCACTCCTTAATTTTTTAGTTAAGAGTGATTTTCTTTTAAAAAAAGATCATTATGGTGGCATAAAACAATATGTATTCAGTAGAAAACATACTTGAATTTTTTAATTTTGGCAAATTTTCTAGGCTAGTGATTTTCAGTCCATTGTTTTGTTTTGTTTTGTTTTGTTTTGTTTTGTTTTGTTTTATCATTATGAATGCTGGGCTGAGGCAAGCAGTCACAGCTACCATTCTGTTCCACAAGCATGGTTGGAACCAACCAGTGTTCTCCAAGGTCCCGGTTGCTGGGCGAGGGTGCCCGGTAGGCTTGGTGAGTTAGGCACATTTTCAGCTAGGGATAGTGGATTGAATCAGTGAACTATAAATCATCTATCTACACATGGCAATTGCAGTCATTTGAAGTAATTAACTAAACAACAAACCATTAAACAGAGATATGAGTACAACTATGACAGATGGGTGTGTGGACGGTACATCTGCTTCCTCGTAACACAAACAGTGGCTTAAACAATAAAGATATAAGGTCTCGGGTGTAGAGCTCTAGTGTGCAGGCACTGGCAGAGCCGCGCACCCTCTGAAACCTGTGGTAGAGACTCTGTTCTTGCGTTTCCTGCTTCTTATACTCTGCATTGATCCTTGATGCACCTCGGCTTGAAGAGGCGCTGAGTCAAATCACTGGCTCTACTGTCACGTGACATTCTCAACTTTTTGTGTGTCGTTCTCTTCCCATAAGGGCACTGGTCGTACTGAATTAATGAACGATCGTGTTCTAGTGTGAACTCTTTCCTCCTTAAGTCTGTAGCAACCGTTAGGGCTTTGAGATGGGAGAAGGATCCGCTCCTAAACCAAATCCCCGTCAAACTCCCCGAACTCTCTTCTCTTGACTTTTGGACTCCATGTCTACTTAAATTGTCCAATTTTCACAATAATCTAGTCAAGGTCCTTCATTAATCACCTTCAATATCTAATTCAAATTCTTTTTTTTTTTAATTTTTGTTGCTACTTTGTTCTATTTATATGAGTACACACACTGTAGCCATCAGACACACCAGAAGAGGGCACCGGATCCAAGATGGTTGTGAGCCACCTTGTGGTTGTTGGGAATTGAACTCAGGACCTCCAGAAGCGCAGTCAGTGCTCTTAACTGCTGAGCCCGTCTCTCCAGCTATCTACCAAATTCTTTAATTTTGTTCCCAGCAATAAGGCTTGAACTTAGTGACTCCTGCACGCTACACAAGGTCAGTCTGGGCCACACCAGAGTCTGTCTTCAAGGAAAAGAAACAGGGGCTGGAGAAATGGCTCGGAGGTTAAGAGAAACTGTTGCTCTTCCAGAAGACCTGGGCCCCACTGCCAGCGTCCACATGGCAGCTAACGACTGTCTGTAACTCCAGTTCCTAAGAATCTAATGCCCTCTTCTGACCTCCACGTGCCCCGGCATGCATGCGGTACAGGAAAAAATAACCAATATATATTTTAAAATACAAATTAATACATTTTTTTAAATTAAACTTTTCTGCAAATAGGAAGAACTTAATGTCTTAATAGTCCTTCATAGTAGAACTTAGTACTTGAATAGTCCTACATACTTAAAGTTAGGAGTTGGAGATTGATACTGAGAAAAATAAAATAGATAGGAAGATAAGAAAGAGGAAAGCCCAACCAGCAGCTATCCATTAGGGTCTCCTGTAGAGTCATCTGTGGGTCACTCTTCAGGCAGGAGGAAAAGATCCATTTCAGTCCGTCCATCTGCAACTTGAAGCCTTCAGTGACAAGGCTGGGATCAGTCAGTGGTGTTTTTGAAAGTTCAACCTTCCATCAGATGTCACTGAAATTATAGGCAACGGGAATAAAGTGGAACATGCACTGCCGTTGGCATTTCCCACTTCCTGTCGAAGTGCTTTATCTCCGTGCAATTATTGTAAAGTGCCAAAGCCCTTGTCTTTACCTCGCCCTATCATCTTCTACTTAATAGAGACTGTGACAGTGCAAGTCCTGCCCTCAAATTATACAAACACAAAGGTGCTTTTATCTATTTTGTTCAGTTTGCCCTTGTATTTTGTTCAGTTTGTTCAGTATCCATTCACAAGACGGGATACAATAGGAGAGGCTATGCAGCTGTGGAGCGAGGTAACATTCCCAAAGACACCTTCGCTGCTATTTGTTACATTTTCTGTTTAGAGACCATCAAAGAGTGAATAGATAATTCACTCCTAACACAATGACTGCCTGCTGATAATGTGGAACGGACTCAGATGTGACCTTGACCACCACAGCACAAAGGATGGGTCTGAGGGTCCACATATGCTATACCCCTGCTGTTGACTGAAACCAGGCCCTCCTAACAAACTTTTAATAGCATACTTTTATCCTTCTGTAAGAACCTTAGCCTAGATACTTTTTTATCCCTTTTGTGTTTAATTTGTGAAGTTCTTCACACACTCTGGATATTAGCACCCTGATATGAAGAATAATTGGGAAAGACTTTCTTCCATCCTGTGGACCACCTGTTTGCTCTGTTGATAGATTCTTTTTCTGTGCAAAACTAAATGTCATCCAAATGGCATAGTGCTAAGGCAAACATTTGTTCTTAAAAACGGGGTGAGATTATATCCCTGCAAATTCAGTGATATTTAGACAGTTTCTTTCAATGTTATTTCTTTATCAGATTGCACATAGATACTTGTGTCACTTTTATTTCCTCAGATAAAGTGATTAGATGAAAGCCATACCAACACTGTGTGAATACATGGTTTGGGCCGAGCTCAGAGCATTTCCTTCTCCATTCTAACCAACCCTTGGCCTAGGCCCAAAGCTTCTAGCCTTCATATAATCCAATCTTTCAAGCTGACTAATTCAACCTAGCTTCTCTCAGCTCCTGTCTCAATTGTTCTGTCTGGCCTCATACTAACTTTGGCAATCTGTTCTAATCTTCTGGCTTCTTCTCATTCTCTGGCTCATTCTATCTTCCCCTGTGTCTTGCTTGTTCTCTCTGTAACCTGTCTCTTTAAAACTATCCCAGTAAAACTGACACACCCACCACCACCACCTCCACATCGTTTTTCCTCCCTCACTGCTCTTAAGTAGCCTCTCTTTCTCTGCTGTTCTTGTTTGAGTTGGGTGGATACTATCTCTGACTCATTCTGTCAAATCCTTCTCTGATATGTCATTGTCTGCCCTTAAGTTAAGCATTACTTTCAAACATGACTGCTTCCTTCTACAAACTAACCTTTCCTTCACTGTTAGAGATTAAAGGTGTGTACTAAGGGCATGTCTATATTCCAGCGAGATCATACAATAATCCAGGACATGTATGCATTCCAGCTAGATCATGTCTTTTGATGTGATCCTTTGTCAGAGTAGCCATATTGCTAGATTAAAATTCCTCTACACATATTTCCATGACACAAAAAGGGCAGGAAGCATAGCAAGGTCTTCTAGAGGGAAACGAAACAGAAGTCAGGGAAAGCAGTTAGGAGATAGGTGCTGACTTGCTAGTGAGCTATAAAAGAGAGTGGAGGTGGAGATACACAAAAGAAAGATAAACCCAGAAATGTAGAATGAATACGTACAGGCTCTGTGATACATTGCCTGGTTTTTGCTCTTTATAGTCTCTTTAAATGACTTGACAAAGATGGTAGCAAGCCATGCCTCTGTTTTCTAAATAAAGAATAAAATGCACTGGAAACATTCCGCTAGTCCTCCCCTCTACTTTTTTTGAGATAGATGTCTGCCATCATGTTCCCTAGGCTGGTCTTGAACTCATGGCCCAAGTGATCATCCCATATCATCCTCCAGAGAAGCTGGGACTGCAGATATGCATGTGCCCACTAGTCGTTTTTCTTTTTCTTTTTTTAAATTTCATTTAATCTTTTTTTATAGTCCAGATTTTATCCCCCTCCAAGTCCAACTTCTGACTGTTCCATATCCCATACCTCCCCCTCCCAGTCTCCACGAGGATGTCCCCACCACCCTCCATTCCCCATCCCACCAGACCTCCGCACTCCCTGGGGCCTCCAGTCTCTTGAGGATTAGGTGTGTCATCTCTGACTGAGGCCAGACCTGGCAGTCCTCTGCTGTATATGTGTTGGGGGGCTTCATATCAGCTGGTGTATGCTGCATAGTTGGTGGCCCAGTGACTGAGAGATCTCGGGGGTCCAGGTTAGTTAAGACTGCTGGTCCTTCTATAGGGTCGCCCTCCTCCTGAGCTTCTTTCAGCTTTTCCCTAATTCAACCACATATTTTAAACTAATAGTTTATTTTAGTTAGCAAATATCATTCTCATAATTCTGAAGATATTTGGCATTTGACTAAGATAGGAGATCAAGAGGTGATACAAGGTACTGAGAAAGAGAATCGGGAGAACAGTAGGACAGGTGACATGAAAGGGGCTAGGAGACTGGAGGGGGAGATACAGAAAGCAGGGAGACTGAAGGAAGATAAGAAGGTAGAAGAGCTGGGCGGTGGTGGTGCAGAGACAGGTGGATTTCTGAGTTCGAGGCCAGCCTGGTCTACAGAGTGAGTTCCAGGACAGCCAGAGCTACACAGAGAAACCCTGTCTTGAAAAACAAAAACAAAACAAACAAAAAAAAAAGGTAGAAGAATCCATTAAAACCCATGTTGCTAGAAAAGGCTCACACGGTATCCAATATTACCTATGCTAATTCAACATTTTATTAAAAAAAAAAATAATGCCATTTGGGATTATTTTTATCCATCCCGAGATTTCAATGCCGAGAGAGACATACTACAGCAGGTTTGAGGAGAGAATTCTGTGGCTTCTCTTACGTTCCTTCAATTCGAAGATGCTCACTCACTTTCCACATCCCTAAAATCTCTGCAGTCGGGATGTGCATTGGAAGAGATTGTGTGAAATCCTACAACCAATGGTGTCTTGAGTGACTAGAATAATATATCCCTTGGAGCACAGGAAAGTCTTATTTGATCATCGTGGATTTATGATAAGTTGTACCTCAGTTTTCTCACTAGACACATAACCGCATCAGTAGTTTTTTGTGGCTGTACTGACCATTCTCAGGATCCAGGTTAGGTGCTACTGGAAGAAAAGACCATTTATTGATTCATGTGATAATTGCATATGTACTTGTCAATATTTGCTTTGTTCACAATGGTTCTTGATGATTTAAACAGGAAAGGCCTCTATATTCAAGATCCCATATTCTCATAAAGAAAAAAATTAAAAAAATAAACAAAATGTACAAACATAATATGTTATGTTTTAAGTATTTTGGGACAGAATATTACAGAGAGTAAAAGTTCCATTGTTTTTCTGGCATTTTCTGAATTGCCTCCAAGGCTCAGAGACTTTTATATTTCCAGATATAATTCTATACCAACAGAGGCCCCAAAATCCTCCCAAGAAGTCTCTCTGGAAACAAATGCACTTCTTCTCTCCTCCATGGCTACAGTATCTTTTGGTTACTGAGCTTCAGGGAAGACAGTTGCCAATGCTCTTCTGACCTAAGCATCAGAGTCAAGCACTGAGTAAGGAATTCCTCACTTTTACACTTCTAAAAACAGGTGTGGGTTATACCGTAGCTTGTGTAAGGCAACTGTAACATCTGACTTAGAAAAAGAGCTTTGGTCAGAAAAGATACAGAATAACTTAGTTGTCTTATATTATCCTAAACTATCCTTGTAAGGTTGTCTTCAATTTTTCATTGTGCTAAAATACACTTTCCATAAAGTTTTATCACCTTAGTCATTTTGAAATATATTGTTTGTGACATTAAACATATTCCCATTCTTTCCTGCCACTATCACCATCTATCTCTATAATTTTTACTGCCTCCAGCCAGGGCTCTGCACCACTATATACCAAATGCCCACACCTTCCTCTTGTTGTTCACTATGCTCCTTTCTAGCTAAGAGTTTGACTGCTCTAGCTACATAGCATCAAGGGATTCATACAGCATCTGCCCTTTTCTGACTGCCTTATTTTGTCTGGCATCATGGTTTGCCTATATCATAGCACTAATCAGAGTTCCCTTACTTCACAGTATTCAGCTTTGAAAAGATGGATAATTATGGCTGCCTCATATATGTGTATGATATCTGACTTGCCCACACATCCTTCCGTGGACACTTGGGTTGGTTCTTGTGTTTGACTACTATGAGTAATGCCAGTGTATGTGTGAGTACATGTCTTTCAGAGCTTGGTTTCAGTTCTTTTGGCATATGCTCAGAAGTAGATATGTTAAACTTTATTAAAATTCTGTTTTGAGAACATTAGGAAACTATAGATTTTTCTCCATTGTAGCATCAATAGGCATGACATGGTATCTCATTATAAATGTGATTTGCATTTCTATATTCATAAGTAATGTGGGATATTATATATACTATATCATAATTTATATTTGTTTTCTGAGCAAACATCTGTTCATGTCCTTTGTCCATTTTAAAATCAGAATGTCTGAGCTAGGAGAAGATTTCTCTCTATAATCTGTATACGAACTTCTTATGAGATATAGAAATTGGAAACACTTTGATTTCTATGGGTTGCCTTTTTCTTCTATTGATAGTGCCTTTTGATCTATGCAGTGTTTAAATTGTGAGGGAGCCCAGTTCATCTATTTTTATTGCCTATGATTTTTTATATCCTATTCAAGAAACTGCTGCCAAATTCAATGCTTTTTCCCTAAGTACTTTATAACATTAGATCTTGCGACTGTGACTTTAACTCATTTGAGGTAGTTTTTGCACTTGGATCTTTTGAGTATAGATGTCTAATTGGCAAAATGTAATTTGGAGAAGGAATTTTCATTTCTTTACTGGATGCTCCCAGAATCTGCTGGAAAATACTCG